ACTATGGCAATGAAAGTCCTTTCTTTGCAGTGCTGAAGCTGCTGGGAGCTTGCTGGATTCACGGATTTTATGAATGAAGGCTCCAGTTACCTTCAAAGGTGAGATTTTGGTTTTTAAGGCGCCTGGCTGTGCAACCAGAGCTTGAACCAGTTGATACTGCTTGCTGCAAGCAGTTGTGTGATGGTCAGTATTTATCTGGGTGTGTGATACCTGGGTGTATTTGTGCATACATATATATATATATGTGTGTGTGTGTGTGTGTATATATATACACACATACACCCCCAGCTGCATCTATACGCTGGGTCCTGAGGACTGTGCCCAGCGGGGGCACTATGCAGGGCCCTGCAGAGCACAGGTTGGAGGTTCAGCGTGAAGAGTGCATAGAGGGAGACCCAAAAAGGCATCCTAAAGCCTCCCGAGTTCCGCGTGGGGGTTAAAAGAGACCAGTGATGTTCTGGTCATTCTGACCCGTGGGGCAAAAGCCAGCAGCCCCCACTGTGCGCTGGATTTTGTGCTGTATTCAGGAGGGTGATTACAACTGTCAGTGTTGTAATTTTTTGTTTTTCTAGATGTTGACTTCCTGAGCAAACGAAGACTACTAAAAAAACCCAACCCAAACCCCAAACATATACTGGTTCAGTTCTGTGTTACACTCCTCTGCAGCATCAGGAATGCTTCAGCTGCGTTGATCTCGCTGCAGGGCCAGGGTCTTAGTGCAGCACTGCACAGCGGAGCATTAATATTAGTAATGTTAGTAGTTAGTAATAGCCAAATATCTGTATTTTACATTGTTTAGGGTATTATTTTTCTTTGTTCTGCATTAGGATTCCCTGTGGTTTCTGTAGCGATGAATTTGTTGTACGTGTGTTCGTCTTACTGAAACACTTCTTGATTTTAAATACCCGTATCCTGTTTTTCAGGATTACCTCTGCAGGCTCTCACAGCAATAGAACTAGCAATAAATATTGAACCTGGGTATCATGAAATAAGCATTTAATTTGAAAGAGTAGCATCGCTTACAGGGAGTAAAATACAGAAAAATACTTCTGCTAGGTTTTCTGTTCAGTGTTGAACACTATACAGTTAATCATAGAATCATAGAATGTTTAGGGTTGGAAGGGACCACTAGTGGTCATCTAGTCCAACCCCCCTGCAGGGAGCAGGGACACATTGGACCAGATCAGGTTGCTCACAGCCCTGTCCAACCTGGCCTTGAATGTTCCCAGGGATGGGGCCCCTCTCTGGGCAACCCCTTCCAGTGTTTGACCACCCTCATTGTAAAGAATTTCTTCCTTGTATCCAGACTGAATCCACCCTCTTTTTGTTTAAAACCATCACCCCTTGTCCTGTCACTGCAGGCTCTGCTGAAAAGATTTTCCCTGCCTTTTCTATAGGCCCCCTTTAGGTACTGAAAGGCCGCAATCAGGTCTCCCTGCAGCCTTGTCTTCTCCAGGCTGAACAAGCCCAACTCTCAGCCTGTCCTCATAGGAGAGATGCTCCAGCTCTCGGATCATTTTTGTAGCCCTCCTTAATCTTGGTGTGTGTCACATGCCACATTCAGCTACTGTGCGAGAGAAAACGTGTTTAAGGAAATGCTTCCCGTGCATAATACGTGGCCTTTTGTGGGGAAATAACAACGGGTGCATGCAGTCAGAGCATTTCACCTTCTTTCTACAAAACCATTTAAAAGAGCCAGAGCGGGAGGGAAAGGTCACTGTGGAAGTGGGGAGACAGTCTAAGTTGCTGGAAGAGGATTTAGGGTCGGGGGATAGTCCTGGGTCAGGAGGAGCGTTGCCCGACAGCCTGGGTTACAGTAACGTGTCGTGATGTAGACCGAAGCTCCAGTATAATGTGAAAACCCAGGATAAAATGATTGAGAACGGTGAGGAAAAGGCAGTAGAGGGTGCTACCAGTGAGGTAGTGATGTTCCTACCTCTTGTATGCTGTTCTGCAGAAATGCTTTATGAATTACGGCTTTGTCAGTGAAAACTTCTTGCTCCAACTAAGTCAACAAGAGATTCCAGGACGAGTTGATAATAAAATCGATGCTCATAAAAGCAAGGGTTGGAGCTAGTCTGCCTAGAGACAGGTTGGTGAGTAGATCTGCTACGTGGTGGTGTCGAAATGCAGCTTCGTCTCGGTGGTGAGGCTGAGTGCGCTGGGGCAGACCCTGGCACCGCCGGGGCGGCGAGAGCCCCGCTTCTCCCCCCCGGCTTAAGCCCCTGGGGCTTGCCCCAGGCCACCCTTAAGAACCGCTAAGACACATCCGATCTCTTAATGCCCATGAATTCATAGACGTTTCAGTGTTAAATCCTTTCTGTTGATTTTTTCTTTACAGCCTGTGTAGGTACCTGTTTTCATTCAGTGTTTGCCTGCTGTTGGTTAGTTACACTTACCTAGTCCCTAATTATGTTTTTTAATGAAGTAGGACAACACTCGTAAGTTTGGAAGAAGGTTGTTTCTCTCTGAATTCCTCTCCTTCCCAGCTTGTTTGAAGAGGAGGAGACCAGCAAAGGGATTATTGCATTCTTCTTTTTTTCCCCAGGGTTTTATCAGCCCCTTGGCAAGAATACCCGAGTACCTCCAGAGCCTTTATCTCATCCACCTTCACAGCATGCCCCCGGGATGGGGGAGTGTTACGGGGCCTAGCTCGCAAGTCCCTGGGAAAATAATTTTAGGTTAAGTGAGGGTGTTTATTTCTAAGCCATTTTGTAGCAAATTCAAATTTTGGCTGCATTTTGGAAAGGATTAATACACACCCTTGAGCAAAGGTGCAGTTAATGTCCTTATCTCTCATCAGGTTATCGCCGATGCGTGGCAGCGTCGGGATCGACCTTTTTCTGTTGCATGAACCACAGAACTCCGTCACTGCGAATGGAGATGGCATTTGGCCTTGGGAATCAATTTGCAAAACGTCAGGTTTTGGAAGGAGCTGTGCTTTAGCCTGCACTTCACAGAAAAGTGCCTGCTTGCTGTC